AGATACCACCTTTGATTTGCTCCTTCCCAGACCTCGCAGAATGACGGAATGAAAGTTGGCGCCGAACTCTCGCAAATAGGCAAACAATCACGACCAGAGCGGAAGCCGGAAACCGTTCGGAGAAATAAAGATCGGCACTATTTCTCCGAACGTTCGGAGAAATAGTCACTTCGAAAAAAAAATCCCTCCACGCCCCCCCGCCCCCCTTCTGTTCACACACTTACACACACACACGGGCCACTCCATTCGCAATTATTAATATCAACAAATCTCGAGAACGTAAACCGTTCGGAGAAATAAAGTTCAAGTTTATTTTCTCGAACGTTCGGAGAAATAGAGCCGGCCAATTTAATAAGATTAGACTAGATATCTAGATCTAGATCATCTAGTTTACAAAGTAATTCTCTTGTCTAAGAAGAAGAGTCTAGACTCATCAAAATCAAGTGTCCAGGTATCTTTAATTAATTCGGGAGGACCTCGTACTTAAACTTCATTAATTACAAGACTAGAAAAAGAATCTAGATTCTAGGAAATCTAAAATTAAAGATCTAGATCTAGATAATCTAGATTTCTAGATCTAGAATTTCTAGAGATCTAGATCTAAAAAACTAGATCTAGATATAATCTAGTCTAGATTCTAGAGATCTAGATCTAGATCTATATTTAAATCTCATTTTAGAGTCTCTACAAGTTAGCCTAGCTAGGCTGATTTTACCTTCAACTTTCAAGGTATAGAATCTAGATTAGATCTAGACTCTAGATCTGATCTACTCAGAGCAGGATCAGTCAACAAGGATGATAGGATTACAAGAACAGACGACGGCAATCCAATACAAAATTAAAAACAGAAAATCAGCTGTGAAAACCATCGTGGTATCGCGTGTCCAATCATGTCGTTGTTGTCAATGATTGAGGTCAGTGTCAGTGGGGAAAAAATAACAAATAAAACTCCAGTTCATTCCAAAATCTAAAAAGTTCTTAAATGATGATGTCCTAAAAACGTGACAATCATAAAAAAATTGAAATGATAGCTATTTAATCCAATGTTTACCGAGCCCAGAGATAATCCTAATCAGATCACAGAAATCTTCAACACGAATGCGAAAGTCAACGAGGCAGGTTGGGGCACGCTTTTTCGGCGAAGGGAAAACAGAAAACAAAAACACGATTGGTTGGATAAAAGGGGAAACTTATTGGATTTCAGTGTTGCAAAATGTCATAATCTGACTAATTATAACATTATACCCTTACCTTCAAACAAGTTTCAAGTTAATTCCTCACTTTTAATCCAAGACAGGCGACGCTTTCATGTTTGTTTACTAAAAATTGTAAAGTGGCGCCATGTTGAAAACGTCACTTCCTTGGAGGTGGACATTTTACAGTTTATTCAGTGGAGAGCTCTACAGAACTTCGCTACCCTGATTCGCAAAAGAGCGCTGTCGTCTGCAGCTGCGTAGAGTAAAGGGTTCGCATTCTTAACTGCCAAGATATTATAGAATTAAACAATGATAGATCTTAAATCTACTTCCACCAAAGATTCTCTTATCTATACACGATCTTTGCTTCCACCAAAAAGCCTTCCACTACAGATTTTATTTGAAAACCTGGGAGCAACAACAGGGCAAACACCGGCACATCTAGATCTAGTACGGTGAACCACAAGTGTCAAGCTTTGAACTCCTATTAATTATCATTACAAAAGCACATTCTCGCAACTCCACCGATTTTTTTTTCACACTCACACCATCCAAGGGCGACCTTTGGCCTTGATTGGTAACTTTTCACTTTTCAGGATAGACCAAAGCGATTGTAGATAAAACTACCGGTGTTCTAAGGTGCTTATTGGGGGTGGACACACACACACGTCTAGTGTAGTTCTTGTTTCGATTTGAAAAAATCAAAAGTATGTAACGTTTTCCTTAGCTAGCTGTTCGCCCCTTGACTGACTAAAAAAAATAGCCTTCTTGTGTGTCTTCTCCTTTCCAGCAAATTCCAAAATCACCTGACAAGCAGTGTATTGTCGACAGTTATACATCTCTAGAATTCTGAAGACATTAATAGACTTTGTCCTTTAAAATCAGAAATTTTATGCATGACTTCACTGTAAAATTCCAATCACTAAAAATATCTTAATATGATTTCTGAAATTAGAGACAGATTAGGAGAAAAAGAAATTTTGTTTTTCCAACCTCTAGGCTGTCACAAACACTAGATCTATAATTTCTGTTTTTCAGGCATAATATAAAGACATATTGTGCAATAACCATAGGTTAGCGGAAAAAAAACATAAACAGCAGCAGCAACAACAACAGCAGCAACACCAACACTAACAGCAATTAACAACAACAACAGCAGCAACAACAACAGCAGCAACACCAATACTAACAGCAATTAACAACAACAACAACGGCAACATGAACACTAACAGCAACTAACAACAACAAAAGTAACAACAATACTAACAGCAAGTAACAACAACAAAAGTAACAACAAACGCTAATAACCAGTGGCCAACTATGGTGTGTTCATGTACGTAAATTTTCTTTACGAGTATGTCGCTCAATACAATGTTTATACCTTGTGACTTTTTTTGTAACTTCTGCATAATAATTCCCTGCTTTTTGTATGCCATTATAATCATACCCCC